TTACATTTTAATCATATTTTTTTTAAATGAAGTTCACATAGTCTCCAAATTAAATCCAAAATTCTCTTATCTAAATATTAAAGCTTTAAAATCCCTAATTTATATCAAAATCTATAATTTAATAAAAATAAGTACAATATTAAATTAAGTTAATTATTGACCTATTTTAAATATTTTAAAATAAATATAATGACTTTACAATTTTTTTTCCATCCGAACCCATCTTCTCTCTTCGCACAAGATATATTTTTTTTCCCGGCCATAACATAAATAAATAATTTTTTTATGAGCGAGAAATTAATGAAATATATATATATATATATGCCTCAATAAAATTTTAATATAAATTTGACATCACATTTTAGATCAATATGTTCTTAATTCTTCTTTTGTATTTGAATATGCATTTTTTTCAAAATCAAAAACAAAATATTCATAAAAAAATAATTCATTAAATCAAAATAAGCTATTAATATCTGATAAATTATTATATTACACTTATTTGGAAGCCAAAAAGAAATTTAAATTTTATTTTAACCAAATTTTAATGAGAGTATCCTGTTTTTTTTATCAATTAATCGCTTTGAGCAATTGATTTTTATGAAATATCTCATTTGGATTTTGTGAAATATTTATTTTTTGAAATAGTAAAAGTAGGGAATATGACCTTGTTGTAAGTTGATTGGCGCCAGCTCATGAATGCACAACCATTCTCCCCTAGAGGAATGAAAGCATGAGGAATCATCTAAACTACTTTGAACCCAGGAGATCACTTGCCTCGACAGGGATTGCTTGCCCATAATAGCTATTCACATTCAAAGCAACCCACCCACTATTGACATGCTCGATTTAGTTATAAGAGGCACAAATCTAAAAAGCTTTTAGCTAGAGGTGTAAGTAAGCCGAGCTGGCTCGTGAGCTACCTCGAACTCAATTTAATAATGAGCTTGCGAGCCAAATTTATCGAGCTACAAGCTCGAACTCCTGCTTAAGCTCAAACTTGTCTGTTAAATGAGGTCGACTTCGAGCTTGGAAAGATTCGACTCGGGAGTTGGCAAGCTGACTTGACTAACTATCTGGATATTTAAAAATAAAATAATTACTAGTTTTATTAATTTAAATGCAAGAAAAAAAAGATGACTAAAGCTATAGTAATTTCCCCAAAAAGAAAAAGCTAAAGCCACAATAATAAGTACTAAATATGCATTAGTTTATATATATATATATTAATGTAGTGGATCCGTGGAATAAATATATCTGTTAGAAGGAACACCAAATAGAAAACCAACAAAAACTTAAAAGCTTCAAAATATCACCATATTCATCATCCATTCTAAAATAAAAAGTAACAAAAAAAATTCATCATCTTTTCTACTACAATACTAGCATATATAAACTAGGAATAGAACATTCTAGACTTTTCACATAACAAACATGTAACAACTAGATAAGATATTCATAACGAAAACTTTAGCTTAGATGTTCCACATCATACTCCATTGACATCAGAAGAGCACGACTCGGTAGAGGGGCGTCATTGATAGGGAGGTAGGTTTAGATAACATAAGCAAACCTCATAGGCCGAAGATTTTACGTCTTTGAGAATTAGCATATCCTTCTTCTTGAGAGTTTAATTTTAGAAAATCACTCAACATGAAAATCGTTCCAAAACCATCATTTAGTATTTTGTTGCAATTTCCAGACTAAGCAATCATATCATTCCCCACAACCAAAATAAGATCATTATTGTGAATAAAATCAACTTGGTGGTTAAAAAAATAAAAGCATACAGCTCTACCATGTTAGGATCTGACCGTTTCTAGATCTAGTGGATAGGACATTGATGGCATGGCCCATATTCGGGAGCTGGTGTGGCTCGGGGACGCAGTAGTAGTTGGCAAGCTCGATGAATGTGGTTATTCTTACAAGGGTTTCTTGGTCATCAACGAAGTTGAAGATGGTGTCGACGACAGATTTGGTGGTCACGCAACTAGTCACAACATAATCAGAAGCAACATACCCAAAAGTCCCTGCAAGTTTAGTCTCCACAGTGTATCCTTTACCATCATTTAATCTAATAAGCCCAAAATCAGACACCTTGGCCTTCATTTCATCTCCAAGAAGAATATTGGAGGGCTTTAAATCTTTATGAATAAAATTTTGATGAGTCAAACTATGCTGTCTATGCATATGCTCAACCCCCCTGGCTACATTCAAGGAAATGCTCAATATTTTCTTCTGCTCCAAGAAGTAGCCAAGGCGTGAACCGAAGTTTCGACGTCTAATTTTTACGAGAACTATAATATTTGATTGGAATTCATTCAAACCCACCCTTTGATACCATCACACAAGACTCCATTCTTTTAATAGCAATCATAGTGCCACCGTGTAGCTCACCCTCAGAAATTGCAGCAAATCCTCCTCTACCAAGAACATTTTCTTTGATGAAGTTGTTGGTTATATTCCTCCAGACTTGGATCAAAATCACCATGTTTCCATTTTCAATTACTTGCACATCACTAGGAGTGTTACTTGCTTAGATTTAGTTCTAACTTTTGGCTGCATTTATATTTGTGCTCAGTCCTGCTGCCACCATAATCTTTATGTTGTCTGAATCTGAACCAGAGTGTTAAGAGTCGGATCGTAGGAGGTCAGGATCAATGCCAGATGCGAGATCACGGGTCTAGCGCAAGAGGAAGAGGAGGCGGAATCAGAAATGTGTGTTTCAACAATAATAGTGGCATCTACTTTGTCAAGTTCTAGATCGCAATCATCATGCCTGTCTCTCTTAGCCGAAACAACCAAATTCTGTATGATTCTACTTTGTGGATCAAAGCGTTACTTATCAGGATCTAGATCATGGGTTATGTGTTGGAACAGAGGGATTTACAAATGATGGTAGTAGTTTGATTGCAGATTGAGTGATCAAGTAGGGGATCGCCAGAGTGGACTGGGAGCAGGAGCGGAAGAAGAGTTTGGGACGGGATGTGCTTGGTTGTGGTAACAGTTTGATGGGGATATATGGGCATGGCCTCGTGACGGTGGCGGGCTGGGGATCACAACATCAGAGTGGAAGTTAGACAAGAGCAGAGTGGGGGTGGAATTGTACTGGAGTGGGGCCAATCGCGTGAAGAGGAGTGAAGGCACTAGTATGGATGCAGATGTTCTTTGCATCTCTTTATGGACTGATTGAAATTAGACAATAAATCATCTATTAAATCAATTAGGGCATCCACTTGAGCTTCCCAAAGTGCTTCGTGGCGTAGATCGTTGGCGACCGCCCATCTTCTTCAACGTCGATTGTCATCGACTACCCATCTTATTTGGCGTCAGTTTTCGTCTACCGCCCATTTTCTTCAACTTTAATTATTGTCGAAAGCCCATCTTTTTTGACAGTCCATATTTCTTCAAGTTTCAAGCTCTGGTGTCAACTAATATAGTGGATCAGTGGAAAAATTGAATCTTCAAGAAGGAACACCAAATAGAAAACCAACACAAGCTTAAGAGCTTCAAAATATCACCATATTCATCATCATTTCCTAATACAATACTAGCATATATAAACTTGCCATATAACATTCTAGACTTTTCATGTAACAAACATGTAACAACTAGATAAGTTATTCATAATGAGAACTTTAGCTAAGATGTTCCACATCAAATATAGAAAACATTGGGATATATTATAAGGAAAAAAAGCTCTTGTCATTAATTAATGAAATTAATTAGTTGAAGTCTTTTCTCCATGAGAAAATAATAATAATAATAATAATAATAATAATAATAGGGAAAAATGGAAAAGGGAATGCCTTCTTCTTCTATGGCTATGATCATGTTAGTCGTCGACTGGATCTTTTTGCGGTGAGCTTGTGAGCCCTCGTGAGCTTGCTTTTATTGTACGCTCCATGGGAAATATGCAAGTATTATAGTAGAATTGATCATTAATGAATATTATATGCTTTTGAGTTTTTAAGCTTAGTTTTTTCCCTGAATTGGGAATTCTTTATAGTATATCTAGTTCTTCCACTGATCCCTTACCTTACTACTCTTAGAAACGATTTTCCAAAGTGAATTAGTTCTCTGCTAGCAGTTATTTTCATCAGAGGGGATACTTTAGCGGTTAAAACATAATGCCTCTATGAACTCGCCCCTACATCTAGAGGACTAGGGTTTACTAACTATACCATGTGTTTATGCTAGTTATACCATAAATTATACATTTTTATTTTTTATTTCTAAATGTAACTTTTATATAGCCCTCTTTATCTTATAACTAAGATGTAATAGGACATTTTTCATGATCTTTTGCATCATATTAGTTATTGGGAATTGTATTTATAATCTTAAAGCTCTTTTCTAACTCCCCATAACAAAATTATTTAATTTTAATGTCAATAACTTATTCAACTTCTCGCTAAAAAAATTGGTTATTTTATTTATCTTCATAACTTATGCAACCTATCAAACAAAATAATGTATCGCTATGACAAAAAAAAAAAAAAAAATCTAACTTCATATATAATTTTATTATCAGATGAAAGAATTATTACTCCTAAAATTTACAAATTTTCAATCAAAGGACGTCCAATTTAGCGCTTTAGAAAATTAATATATGTAAAAAAACGCAAGAAAAGCTTCAGAATTACTTTAAAAATATCCTGCAACGAACTGAGATATTTATCTCCAGCTAAAGAGTTAAGGGCCACATCGTGCCCTCGATGGCCCACAATTTCATTGAGGGAGCAGAAGGCACGTCATGTCGCGGTCCCCAGTCGAGATATTTGTAATAAGAATACGGTTCTTCCCCTTAATTTGGCGCTTACCCCTCCATTCACCCTCCATTTCTATAAAGTTTGTGACTTTCGGTCACACAGAGAGAGAGAGAGAGAGGGAGATGGGAATCGAAGGAAGAGGAGCAGATGGCGGCCAATGTGAGATCTTTGAGAAGAAGCGCCTGAAATGGTCTGTAGAGGATGAGCTGGATTGGGAAGTGGGAGAAGAGAAAGAGGAGGAGGAGGCGGAGGTTCTTAGACCTTACTGCTATGAGCCGGAGATCTGTCCGTCGGCTTCTTTCGTCGTCGCCGACGCGCTGGAGCCAGATTTCCCAGTCATATATGTCAACGCCGTGTTCGTGAAGGCCACTGGATACCGCGCAGATGAGGTTCTCGGCCGGAACTGGTAATTGACTTCACTGAATTTTGTTGCTCTGGTTTATTGACTTTGCTTTGGTTCAAAGATCTCATCTTGGGACTAATTTCACAATCATTTTATGTTAATCTGAACTTTTTTTAGGGTTGGATTTGTTTTATCTTCTAATTTGTCTGTTTAGGCCTTTGGGATTGGGGGAATAGAATAGATTTTCTTTTGTTTTTGTTTAGTTGTAGTCTTCATGTGAGTTTTTTTTTTTTGGGTTTTTTAGAAGTATATGAAGCTTTATGAACTAGCCATTGGAAGCTATTAGTATTCCTTGCGCATCAGCACTGCTTTGTTTGAGATCTAAAAATTAAAAATTTTGACTTTTTATTTCAAGTGTTCTTTAACGGGCTCTTTTTATTTACTGAATTATACTAAATTTTCTTCCTGTCTCTTTGATGCATAATTTACTAGTTATTCTCAAATGGATATGTTTATTTTGTTTGTTCTTTTTTTTTTTTTTTTTGTAACTTGCTAGTTTGGTGTTGCTAAATTAGGATTTAGTTCAATTGCGCTGGTAATGACGTTGGAAACAGTAATCTGCCCTTCGGAAATTTAGCTACATCTGCATTGCAGCAGTGGGAGCTTCTTTCTACAATCTATGCTGCCATTGCAATGGGAGATGTTTACAGTTTTATCTAATAGCCATTTCCCATCTCTGTTTTTGTTTTGGCTTTTGACTTACCATAGTTCAGTTTTAAATATTGAGTTTCTCAGAAATGAAGAACATCAAATATGAAAACTAATCATTTGATATTTTACCCTCTAATGTCTCTCTTGTGTGTTAAGAGCACATAATATATTTACCAACTTGTATCACAAACCAATTGTATTATGACAAGTGTACCTAGCCGGCATGAACAAAGCTATATATACCTACAGCTGCTATGTATTGAGACACGAAAGATAATAAAACTTTCCAGACATTTTCTTGATCCTCTCTCTGTATCCTCTTTCCTTTTACATTTTCGATTTCTCTCTTGTGAAGTTTGATTTGGATTCAGTGAAATTTAAAAAAATAAAATAAAATAAAGTTCCTATAGTTATGGTTGAGATGAATTTGCAATCACTGATTAAGCTTTTCAACTCTTTTTACATTTCCTTTAACTCAAATTCCTAACCTCCAAATCTAGCCTAAATAAATAGAATGAAGATTATCTGCTTTCCCTTTGGTATCAACCTAATGTAAATTTCTTTCAGCCGATTCTTGCAATCCCGCGACCCGTGGGCTCAAAGACGACACCCTTTAGTTGATCCCATGGTTGTGAGTGAAATCCACAGATGCTTAGAGCAAGGAGTGGAATTCCAGGGTGAGCTTCTTAATTTCAGAAAAGATGGAACTCCTTTGATCAACAGGATGAGGCTAATGCCTATGGCTGATGATGATGGCATTATAACACACATCATTGGCATTCAACTTTTCTTTGAATCAACCATAGACCTCAACAATGTGACATATCCAGTTTACAAGCCAACATCCCAATGCAAATTCAAACTTGACAAGATGAATCTTCCTACATCTGAACTCAGTTGTAGGAGCCAACATCCTCTTGAGCACTGTGGCATTCTTCAGCTATCTGATGAAGTATTAGCCCACAACATCTTATCTCGCTTGACACCCCGCGATATAGCTTCTGTTGGTTCAGTTTGCACTAGAATGCATAACCTAACAAAAAATGAGAACTTGAGGAAGATGGTGTGCCAGAACGCTTGGGGCAGAGAGGTCACTGGTAAATTGGAGCTGGTAAACAAGAGTGTAGGATGGGGCCGACTTGCGAGAGAGCTGACCACACTTGAGGCAGTGACATGGAAGAAATTTACAGTAGGAGGAAGGATAAAACCATCGCGATGCAATTTCAGTGCTTGTGCGGTAGGAAACAGGCTCGTCTTATTCGGTGGGGAGGGAATCAACATGCAACCAATGGATGACACATTTGTCCTAAATCTCGAAGCAGCGAATCCCGAATGGTGCAAGGTGCAGGTAGCGTCTGCCCCTCCTGGAAGATGGGGGCATACATTGTCATGCTTGAATGATTCGTGGCTTGTAGTTTTTGGCGGATGCGGACGACATGGATTACTAAACGATGTGTTTGTGCTTGATCTCGACGCCCCGCAACCGGCCTGGAAGGAAGTGGAAGGTGAGACTCCTCCCCTACCCAGATCTTGGCACAGCTCCTGTACCCTCGATGGCTCTAAGCTTGTAGTATCTGGTGGTTGCACGGATGCCGGCGTTCTTCTTAGCGACACTTTCCTACTAGACTTCAGCAAGGAGAAGCCTGTTTGGAAAGAAATCCCTTCCAAATGGATTCCACCATCCAGACTCGGCCATAGTCTCTCGGTTTATGGGAGTTCTAAGATTCTAATGTTTGGTGGAATGGCAAAGAGTGGTTCTCTGAGGTTGAGATCATGTGATGCTTATGTGATTGATTTAGGAGAAGATGAGCCTCAATGGAGGCAATTGGAGACAAATGGTTTACCAGGAGCCACTCCGCCGCCGAGACTCGATCATGTTGCGGTGAGCCTGCCTAGCGGTAGAATCATCATCTTCGGTGGCTCCATTGCCGGATTACACTCGCCTTCTCAGCTCTTTTTGATCGATCCATTGGAAGAAAAACCAACATGGAGGATGCTTAATGTGCCTGGGCAGCCACCAAAATTCGCCTGGGGACATAGCACCTGTGTTGTTGGTGGAACAAGGGCCCTTGTGCTTGGAGGTCGCACAGGGGAAGAGTGGGTATTGAATGAGTTTAATGAGCTTCGCCTGGCTTCAGCAGCTCCATGACATTGGTAAAATGATGAGTGTTTCTATCTATCTATAACTTGCCTTGTTTATGTGCATTGGCTTCTCTATTTTTTGTGTGTTCACTGAGGATGAGTTATGTTGTGTAGTTCTTTAATGCTTTCTAACATTAGTTGATAGTGAAAATGTTCTTGACATTTCCTTCTATGCTTAAATGCAAGCTTGTAAAGAGAATGAAATGACTTACAAAAAATGGTGTAGAAGTCTAAGTATGCAATTTTAGGCTAATAATAATATGCAAAGCAAAAGACAAAAACAACTTATGCATTTTTTACAAAGAATTAAGCTTCGTTTCTTACAGTTTTCTTCCTGCTTTGATTTTTAAATTGTAATAATAATTTTTATTTGATTATTTTATTTCTTCTTGAAATTTTTATATTTTTTGTAGTAGTTTTTTAAAAATTTATTTTCTATACGATTAATACAATTAATTTAATAGGAGTTTCTTTCTGAAATAAATTAAAAGAAAAAGGTCCTTTTAAAACTTATGGACACGATTACGACCATAGCAGAAGTTGTTAGAAGATATTTTGAGCAGCCAATTAAAGAATAGGAGCATATCCTATATTAATTCTAACTCTACAAGAATATTTTAATTTGTAATATTGTGTAATTTTAAATGAAAATTTTGTCTTTGTATGCAAATGGTATACCTAATTGATTAAATATATTTTTGTTGTTTATTTATTTAAAGAAATATAAATGACAAATATATTTCAAACCAATTTACCTATGCCATTTAATAATGAGTCATAAGTTATAATAAGAGCCCTTGAATAAGTGAACTATTTAAACTTCCTTCTCTCCAACACTTTCTTTTTCTTCGATGATTTTAATCTTACTTTCGATGATCATAATCCAGTCAAGGTTAATAATGTTGTACTCTTGAAAGCGCTCCTAAGCACTAATCAATCGTTGGCTTTGTTTGGGACAGCTTTCTTACTGCTACTCAAAGCAATTTTTTAGCACAAAAAATTTAATTTTTGTATTAAAAACTTGTTTTAGGAAGCAGAAAAAAAGCTGTCCCAAATGAAGTCATAGTTGAATGACACAATCTCCAGCCTGGATAAGTTATGTTACTCATCGATGCTCTCAGTCTTCTATTCATCAAGTGACCTTACATTCGAAGATAAATATTTTGTGCTTTAGTACATCTAAAACTGAATATATGAAGTATAATTTTAGTAGTGATTGACTTATTGAGGTGATTGTGCCTTTGGGGGATTAAGTCATTAATAAGAGTGCACGTTTTAGATATCTTGGATCTATTGTATAGAGTGATTGTGAAATAGATGGAATATTATTAGCAGAATTCAAGTTGGATGGTTGAAGCAGAGGAATGCATCGGGCTTGTTGTATGATAGAAAAGTCCTCCTCAAACTTAAGGGGAAATTCTATAAGATGGTGGTGAGACCTACAATACTTTATGGTGCCGAATGTTGGCCATTAAAAGAGAAGCATAATACAAAGTGTTGCATCGATGAGAATGCTGCGTAGCTTTACCCTTAGAGATAGGATATGAAATGACCATATACGTGAAAAGATTGGAGTAGCTCCAGTGGAAGATAAAATTTGAGAATCTCCTTAGATGGTTTGGTCACATAAAACGGCGGACTTCCGATGACCCAGTTAAGAAAATAGATGTATAAAATTTGACTTATGTTAAGAAAGGTAGAGGCAGGCCTAAAAAGACTTGGTTAGAAAATATTAGAAATGGTATTTCTTTATTAGATCTAAACGAGAATTTGACTTTTAACAGGACATAATGGAGAAAAAAGATTAATGTAACCAACCTAACGTAGTGAGACATAAACTTGATGTTGTTGTTGTTGTAGTATTTTGAGCAATTCCCCCCTTCCTTGCTGTATGGTAGTCTAATTACTTTCTCATCAACATTCTTTCGACTAACCAGTCAGTGCATATATTAACTTATTAAACAAGTAGAAGAGGCATATATATATGAATTATATGATTCCATTTCAAGCTGACAGGAAGCCCAATATGGCACATTCCTATTAGATATCCGATCCCTTTACAATGAACAGAGAAAAGCTGGATGTGGTTACTTGCTATTTATAAAGGACATTGGACAATTCAAATCACGTTAATTTTCCTAAGTAACTTTTTCCAGGGCGATTAGCAATTGATAAAAGCTAGTCTAAATGTTTATTAAACTACTCATATCTCTTCATTGTCTATAATAAAGCCCACCTTGGTTCGTTGGATTTAATAACAAGAGCTAGTCAATGCTTGCTTCACTGGACTAAATAGTTTGGGTGCTCGATCCTCCCTATGCCTACACATATAGAGCCAACTCTAAGCTCCATGCCTATACAACTCTAAAGCTCTACTAAGAGTGATGATGATTAAGTAATTTAAAAATGCTATCATCTAGTTATAATCTTATGGGAGGTCATTTTATTAAATAATATCGAGACTTTTGAAGTTATTATAGTTTAGGACTCCATCTCGAGTTGGTGAAAATTGGCTCATCTTTAGACAATTACTAAACTTTAAGATCATAATTATAACCTTATGTAAGGAGTTGATGTCTAGTTGGAGTCTTATGAAAATTCTCTCATTTGTTGGAGACTTTGAGAAGTATAACAATATCCACCATGGACCAATTTCATATATATATATATATACAACTTGGTTTAGCTACAATCCCCCTCGGCATACCAAGATTCAGCCAAATGTTGTCAATCTGTTCCGGCTAATCCGACCTCGGGAGCCCAAGCCTAATCTCTGTCTCCTTCAGATTCAACCCAATCTTCTCTTTCCTATATCTCCACCAAGAGCCCTGTGTCTGATTCACAGCACCCACACCCCGCTTCCACGCATGCGGCTGCCCACGCCAGCACAACGCCTCGAGCGCGTTTGACCCACGCCCTCACACATCTATCATACCCTGCACGTCTTTCACTCTATACGCGTCCGCTGCACCCCATGTGCATCCTTCGCACCCCACGCACCCGCACTACGCGCATCAGCCGCACCTCGATCTTCCTCCCCACACGCCCTGCTCGCCTATGATAGCACCTTATAAGTGGCCCAACCCATGCTCCAACTCAGCTCTATGCCCTCCATGCCAGCTTGTCATTGAATGCACCCTACAATCGCATTGCCATGCATGAAAGCGACGCCTGTGACCTCCACCCTGATATGATCACCTGCCCTATGTGACCCCAGCCTTAGCCTCCTCACCCTCACGTACAGCTTCCTATGTCCCATGACTTGTCCACCTGCCATGCACGTGCAACACCTGCACGCACTTGTCTCCGACACCAAATCATGATTACACATCTTTAGCATGCACTTCGTGCATAGCGCCATGTGTGCCTCTTCCTGCTCATTGTCTGCGTGCATCATTCTTCCAATTTGTAGCACCAAGCCTACTGGAATCCCGCTGCCTTTCTAACTATCCCGATCCTGCACGATGCCTGCTTTCTTTCTTGGACAATAACACCTTCCTCCTCCACCAAGCTCTGATACCAATTTCTTGAGATTCTTTGATAGGGTAGGGAGAGAGGAGGAATCCAGGTAGAGGAAATAAGAAATCTATTCTTTATTGGCATATTGCTTGGCGAGGAGTCTCCATTATGTCCTCTTGCAACTTTTTTATAGACTACATGGCTACACATAGTAAAAGCTTAAATAAAGTACACCTAAGACTAAAATGAAATTAGACCAAAAATATTAACACATAGTCTTATGATGATGATGGTCAAAATATCATAGTTGGGGGATTATATTTGGGTAATAATGGCCAAGAGACCAATGTCAGGCAATAAAGATCAAAGGATCGAAGTCTGGCAATATTGGTTAGAATACTATATTCAGATGATGATGGTCAGAGGATTATAATCATGCAATAGTATTCAAAGGAATATATTTAAGGGATGATAGCTAAAGGATTGTAGCTAGGAGAATGTGGTCAAAATACAAGGGTTGTGCAACCATGGAAGGGTGACCATATATAATTAGACAATTGTTGTTAGACAATTATAATCGAGTGATGGTAGTTAGAAGATCTTAGTCTTGTGACAATAATCAAGTGATCATAATCCCGTGAGAATAGTCGAAGGATTATACTCAGACAAAAGAGATCGAAAGACTGTAGTTAGGCAACATTGATTGAAGGATCGTAGTCAAACAACAAAAGTCTATAGAGTGCAGAGCAATGGCAGTCAATTTATCATAGTTGATCATGATAATCAAATGTAAATGATATGATGGTAACATGTAAAATTTAGTGGCCAAACAGTTGTATGGTCGAACAATAATGGTGTTCAAATGCGCTATTATTTTGATGATGATCGTTGACATTTGATTATCAAACAATGGTTCTAGTCAGATGATAATAGTCCAGCAATTATGGTCAAATGATGATGGTTTGACAATGATCGGGCAAAACCCTATGAAGTATTTGAGCTCTCTCCTCTAGTCTAGCCTGCAAGTCCCATTTTATGTAGAAATTAGAGGTCAAGTCCTAAATTTTAAGAATATCATTTTGATAAATTTAGTCACATCCCAAACACACTCATTTGGATGACCCATACTAATTCCCTTGCACTATAGGAGAATTAATTTGTCATAAATGGGTAAATTTTCATCGAAAATATGCATTTCTGATTGAAAATTTTTTTGATGAATTTTTAACAAAAAAATCTGCCAAAAATTTTACTCAAAATTTTTTGTTAAAAATCCTTCTGCAAATTTTTTTTTAAAAAAAATTCTGTCTCTCTACCAAGCAATGGTTGTTTGAAATTAATTTTAAGCACAATTAACTCAAAAACATGAAGTCCAAGGCTAAATTAGAATTACAAAAATAGTTAAATGTCTTGTCATATGCAAATCATTACAGTTCACCAATCAAAATAAATAAAAATCTTTTTTACTAATTGTCATTTAACAATAATCAATAATGTTTGACAACCTAAGTAGTTCAACAGGTTAACAGCTAATAGTCTAACTAACACTAAATTTATCTTCAATCAAAGAAAAGAATAGACAACCCTGAACATAATACTTAAGAAAATAATTTAAAATGCTATCCAACTCACAAATAGAGAGAATAGAAATACCCGAATTTTTTACGTGAAAAACCCTAAAGGAAAAAACCCACAAGGTCACACCTAGTTGAAATGAATTCACTAGTATTTGAATAGATTACAAATGATTGGCTAGCTCTTGAAGCTAAGGATGATCATGTTGCAATAGTCAACCGTCAGGTTGAAATCTAGTGATTAACTGGTTTCAGATGAAAGTCCAACGATGGTCGGTGGCCGCGTGTAAATTCAGCATTAATTGGTGATCGAGCGGAAGTCTGGCAATATCTAGTGCTTAGTTGAAAGTCCAGTAATAGCTGGTGGTTGGACGGAAGTCCGACGACAGTCATTGGCAAGGTAAAAGTCCTGCAAAAGCCTTGCAATGATCAATTTCCGAGTGGTGGTCGAGGAGTCTGGTGGTAAGAGAATTTTGATTTCTCTTTCTTTCCTCTCTTCCTTCTCTTTATTGCTTGGTCCTCTCTCAATAAAGAATGAGGGGTTTATTTATAATTTTTTGGGAATGGCATGACCAATAAATACGGAGAAGATTAAGGACATGTTGAGAGTGTTTTGAATGGACGACCAATATTGACTCCCTTAATTATGGACCGTTTATTGAGTATCTAAACGATATCGGCAATCTTGAGCTCATTGGATTCGTCTAATCGAGCCACTCGATTCGACAATAAGCATGTTACATTTTGAAATTGTTTGGTCATCCAATTTATGGTTTGAATCTTCCATGTTTAGTGTGTGAGAACGATGTTAGAGAATATAGAAGCAATGAGGGAGTGAGAGAGAAGAGAGTCATGTACTTATTTCTCTGAATTTTCATAGTAAATTTCTACGTGCGGCTCCAAGATTTTTTTTCGCGGTTTCATGTTTTTTCATGTTAAATCCTATTGTACTTTACTTTCCTCTTCTTCTTTTTTTCTTATTTATTTTATTGCATGGTTTACGTTCACATCCTCAGCAGTGGATCTGCTTTGCTCATACCAATATCATGGAGAATGTGGTGGGATAGAAGGGGAAAACCCATGATTCGTCCAAAGACAGTACTTTGGACATGGTTCTAATTATTATTTTATGGGAAACTATCACCCAAGCTATCCCAAAGAATAGAGCTACTAAGACATACCAAAAAGCTGACCCAACACTAAGGAAAGAAACTTGAATTAACTCAATTCTTCACCGTTTATATTTGATATGAATATGTTGTTGTGGTGGGTATTTTTCTTTTTTATTGAGTTCTTCCATTCCTGAAAAAAATTAGATCCCGCAGACATAAAAAATTTTAAATTCTATAGTGAGTGATGTGTTCCTTTAAACTCTTGGACCTCGACATCTTTAGAGCCCTTGTCTCTGATACCAATATCATGTAGGGCCTCAATTTGTGATATTTTTCTTGACCTTTATCTTAGTGATGCATCAATTTCTCTTAAAGATTAGGAGATTAAGTCCTATCGATCAATTCTATTATAGATTTATAATAATGCATCTTAGCATTGTACGAATATCCATCTCACATATAGAGAACATAAGATTTTTAACGTGGAAAACCTAAGAAAGGGGAAAAACCATGGGGTCTTGCCCAGTTGAAATGATTTCACTAGTGCTTAGGTATATTACAGTGGGTTGATTCGCACTCAAGGGCGATCATATTATAAATATCAACCGTATGGATGAAGTCAAGGGTAGATGAAAGTCTGATGTCACTTAGTGGTCTAGTAGAAGTATGATGTCACTTGGAAGTTTGGGCATATGTTAGTAGTCCAATGGTGGTTTGATAGAAGTCTGCATTATGCAATGGTAATATGGAACTCCGGGCATCAAGTGGTGGTTTAGCGAAACTTCGCGCATCAAGTGGTGGTCTAATAGAACTTCGGGCATCAAGTGGGGGTTCGGTAGAACTTCTGGCCTCAAGTGGTGTCTAAATGGAACTTTGGCGTGAGGTGGTGGTCCGGCGAAACTTTGGGCCTCAAGTGGAGGTATGGCAGAACTCCATGCATCAAGTGGTGGTCCAATAGAACTATGGGCATCAAGTGATGGTATGGCAGAATTCCAGGCCTCAAGTGGTGGTCCGATGGAACTCCAATATAAAGTGGTGGTCTGACGAAACTCCGGGCCTTAAGCGGTGGTCTAGCTAAACTCCAAGCCTCAAGTGGTTGTCTAGCGGACTTCGGGCCTCAAGTGGGGTCTAGCGGAACTTTGAAGTCAGGGGGTGATTCAGTGGAACTCCAGGAATCACATGGTGGTCATACTGAACTCTGGCGTCATTTGGTGGTCCGGTGAAACTATGGAACTTAAGTGGTGGTCCGGAATAACTACAGGCCTCAGGGGATGGTTCGATAAAACTCAAGGCCTCAAGTGGTTGTCCTGCGGAACTCCAGGCCTCAAGTGGTTGTCTGATGGAACTTTAGGCCTCAAATGGTGGCTCGGTGGGACTCCGACATCAGAGGGTGGTTTGATGAAGCTCTGGGTCTCAAGTGATGGTCCGACGAAACTCCAGGGTCAGGTGGTGGTCTAGCGAAACTCCAGGCCATATGTGGTGGTCCGGCGGAACTCTAGACCTCAAGTGGTGGTTTGGCGAAACTCCGGGCCTCATGTGATGGTCTGACAGAACTCTGGTGTCAGGCGGTAGTCCGGCAGAACTCCAGCGTTAGGAGGTGGTCCGGCGAAATTCTAGGCGGTGGTCGAGGTAGAGCAAGGAGGCAAGAGCGATCTCGGATCTCTCTGTTATTTCCTTTGGCTTTGGGTCCCTATTCAAGAGGAATGAGAGGTCTATTTATAGATTTCCTATAGTAGCTTGTCCCGTAAATAGGAGGAAGGTCAATGGTAAATGGGGAGTGGTTTGGATGGATGATTGATGTTGAATCCCTTGATTGTGAACCGTTTGTTTGACATTTAAAAGTCTTAATGATGTCAGATTTTGTGATCTTAGGCTCGTTGGATTCTTCTCATCGAGCTACTTGATTTGACTATAAGCATGTCAGGTTTGGAAACCGTCAGTAATCCAAATTGTGGTTTAAAGCTTCCACTAGCACTGCAGATCCTTAATTTGGACCCATTTGGGCTCGGATTGAATCAAATTTGGTGTCGTTGGATTCGTATTTTTGAGATGTACAGTTTGGCTATAAGTTTATTGAAATAGGAGTTCATATGGTCCCAATTTTAATTTTGGAAGTTTTCAACTTGATTTTGATTTGAGATTTGTGCCGATCAAATATATATTCATTTATTTCATTTCACGAGGCAAATGGATAAAAAACTTGCGCAATTGAAAAAAGTGCTCCGTTCCTAACCTAAGTGGTGGCCTAAGGATTATTAACTTAAAATTTTCAACTTAGCATTATTGTGCAAATGATTAAAAAATCTCGCTTTCCACAATGATTGCTTGATGAGAAAAATTATATATATAAGAAATTGATATTGATTTTTGGATGCCCAACCTTTCTAGTGTTTCTCTTTTTTTAAGGAATGACATTAAGTGCGTAGAGGTGTTTTTTAATGAAATTTTTTTTTTCTAGATAATATTCTTTCATCTTTTGGAGGAAAAATTTGTCCTACTTAAGGTCTATTGCATCTATTATTATTACTCTCCTTTTTTTAGGACCTCTAGGGAATTCGAGTACGTGTAAGAAGGGAGGAATCGCTTCTGTCGACCGTACGTCCAGCCGCAGTCCCATCACTTTAACCTTGAATTTTACTTTTTATTCTATAAATATTTAGTCATATTTTATCTAAACTTGTATATATTGCTTAAATAATAATAATAATAATAATAATGTCATTAATGTATACCCAATCATGCTTGATTTGATAGCAGCAATAACGCTTATGTAAAAGTAGCCATTTGAGTCAGATGATGAAGTTGAAAGGCAAAATGTGGTGAAATGGATATATAGAAGGAATGAAGACTTAAAATAATAGAATTATGTAGAGGATAAAGCATAAAACATAAAAAACTTTAACGCCACATAGATTTTATTCCAACTAAGCTAAGACATTTATACAACAATATACATTGGCTACCAAATACACAACTAAATATCAACCATATTCATAATGATATTGTCGCTAACAATGGAGAATAATATTTTATGATTGCCTTAGCTGCAGCAAAATTGGTCACAAAGGTTTCATTTGGGACAATTTTTTTACTGATTTCTAAAACAACTTTTTAATACAAAAATTTACAGTATCACTTAATTTATGAGGGGTTCAAGCGGTCCTATCGTATCTCTTACGCATGACTTTCTCTCTCCATCATTTTCTCTCTCTATACATATATCCATTTTTTGTGTTGGATTATTTTATGATTGCCTTAGCTGCAGCAAAATTGGTCACAAAGGTTTCATTTGGGACAGTTGTTTTACTGATTTCTAAAACAGCTTTTTAATACAAAAATTTACAGTAGCACTTAATTTATGATGGGTTCAAGCGGTCCTATCGTATCTCTTACGCATGACTTTCTCTCTCCATCATTTTCTCTCTCTATACATATATCCATTTTTTGTGTTGGATTTCCTGTTTTTAACTTTTGTACATCGATAAAGATGGGTTCAGATCTCAATGTAGATCCTCGGCCCTCAATAGAATTAGGTGCAATCACAGGCAGCTCAAGTCCCCCAATATTTTTTTCCTTCTCCATCTGAATTGAATAATCCTTGCTTTTACCCCATAAAATGAAGTACATGCCAGCTACCAAGATAGTTGCGCCAATGATTCTGTATCCAATAAAAAAGAAACATTACCAATGCTTAATAGAATTTGCATAAAGAGAATAGGACTGTGTAAAATGAAAATTTATTGCGTCCGGCGTCCGAATGCGCCATATCATCCGGGGTCTGGTGCATCCGGATGACTCGGCGTGTCCGAATTTACCTCGGAACGATTCAGAAGCCGCACGTAATAATCTCTCGGGTAAAATATTCTGGGCACGAGCTTACGTTCCAAGAGCAGTCCTTTCTGCTAGGAAGATCGAGCCCAAGACATTAGTCATGATCATTGTAAGAGGATTGAAGGCACTTGCAAAAACTGGACCTTTCTCCTTCGTCACCATCCCAAGCATAAAGTACGTGAACGCATTGCCTATTAGCCCCTGCAAGTAAATTCAGAAAGGATCTATTAAATGATATCGAGCATTCGATTTTTTAATTAACAATTTAATGACCATATTGTAAAATTAAGAGTTCTCATAATTTTTATAAGAACTTAATCACATATAAAATTCAAGTTTTCAAATTCTTATAATAACTTTTTTTAAGATTAAGTACTCTATCTTTTACAAGAACTCGCAACATGCATTATGAGTTTTATAACTCTTGCAAGAACTCGCATTTCAAATTATGTAAAAGAAATCGAAACGAAGAACATAAATTTATATAAATCTTAAATCTATAAGATCTTAAACAAGATGATTTTCACAAGCTTTTAATCAAAAGAAAACATACATTGATTAATGTTAAATTCATTGAATTCCAAACTACGGTTTCTCTCTCTTTTTCCTTTCACTTTTTTTCTTTCATGAGCTAATTTTCTATGAAACAAACTAACTCTCAAATGAGAGAGAGATGACCGGTAGTTTTTTCCTACGGATTAGCTCATAAGAGTTATTTGACCAAACGGTCCATAAACGATTGATCAAATTATCTCTTCTTGATCATAGGATTTAAACATAAATAATTAAATTTCAATAATTCAAATATATGGATAACTTAATAGTTTATATAATTAAATATATAAACTTAAATAATTATTATGATGTCTCACATAATTATTATATTTAATTATTCTAACACATCATACCGAATAGATCACGGCAAAAAGCCTCATATCCCAGCCTAAAATCCATGGCCGGAAACTCCCATGCTCCACCACAAGAGCAATCACTGTGTTTGCTACCGCACCAACAGAACAAACCATTCCTGTGAGGCTTAGTTTTGCAGGGTATGATTTCAAAGTGTTTGCCTGTATGTATATAATAAGTTAATTGTATATAAAAATCATTCTTAAAAATTTTTAAAAATATTATTAATGGAATAAATTTGTGTATTACTTGCAGGACTATAAAGGAAGACCAGCTGAGGCAACTAATAAAAATCATCAATATGCCCTTCATCCATCTGAAGCTGCTTGTGGCTTTGTCAATTGCATTTACATTAACTGCAGTGCTGTGATTCTCTTTTCCTTTAGACCAGACAAATTCCACAAAGGGACCTTTGTATAAAATCATCAAAACTGCGCCAATCACACCCAAGAGGGCTCCAATGACCTTGGCAAGGCCATTCCTTCTTCGAATATTCAACTTCTCCATCCTAATTCAATTGGACAAAAATGTTTCTTAAACAAATTCTTCTGTGAAGTTGATTTCAGGTTATATAAATATATATAACTTCAGACTTTTCAATTTAAGAATTACCTTAAAAGAAGGCAAATGGCTAAAGTAACGGCTGGATTAATGTTTTCAAGAGCAGAAGCAAAGCCTGCTGAGGTCATCTTGGCTCCCATCAAGTAGGAGTTTTGATCAAGAACAGGTCTGTTTAAAGAAAAGAAGATAATCAATTAAATTTCTATGAAGAACCATGTGTGGCTGTTTATTATATTATGAGAAGTGAGGGGTGATCGATCATAACTGAAGAATTCCCAGCGCCATAACCTTGATGAAGATGACGACTGTCATCTTAGGTCTCCCATTCCTACACCAGAGTAAAGGAGAAAAATTAAAAAACCAATCAAATTATGATCAGATATTCTCATACTACAGGAAATCCACGCCTTATTGGCGGTTTTTTTCGGTGGTTCATGATAGATTTCGGCGGTTTTGTAAGGTTTTTCGGCGGTTCAAAAACCGCCGGTAAAAACCTCATAGTAAACGGATTTCCGGCGGCCTATTTTCGGCGGTTTTAGTTACCGGCGGCATTCCGACTTACCGTCTAGAGGCCAATCAGGTGAACCGCCGGAAGTACCGAGATTGGTACCGAGCAGTACCGAGCTCGGTATTGAGTAGTACCGAGCTCGGTATCGAGCAGTACCGAGCAGTACCGAGCTCGGTACCGAACAGTACCGAGCCGCGGTACCGAGTAGGGATGATGTGGCGCATTTTCATTGGGCTACGGACGACATTCGGTGTCCGCACCTAATAATTTCACCTAATCAATACATACCTCTCAAACCAGAGTGCAAATGGCAGAATGACAGTAGCAGCGACAGCGCTACGATAGGCAAACATTACAGACTGGTTCATGCCTTCCTTAAGTGTTGCCATTAAAATTACGTACATAACAGCAATGCTAAACTGAAGCAAAACCATGGCCGCATAAGGCCTCACTTTCTTAAACACTTGTTTAACTCTGACGCCGTTGGCTTCCATCGACACCATCGCCATGGCTGCTTCTTCCCACAATTGCTTAACCTGCTCTTCTCTTCACGAATAGCTAGGCATGCTTCTGATCTTTATATATATATGCGCTAAAGAAGGAACAGCATAAGTTTTTTTAAACTTAATTATATTTTCATGCAGCAAGATCTGATTTATCAAGTACGCGTGTTCTAAGTTTTTTATTTGTTTAATCACATTAGAGAGAAATTATTAAGTGCACCGAGAACCGTCCGGCTTCTGTGAGTATACACAACAAAAAATAAAATTATATATTTATTATATATTTACTATATACCGTCGCAGAATCAGACAATTCTCTTCTCCGGACTCCACATGTAATTTCTGTCAATATTAGAAAACTCATCAGCTTTGATACTTGGCAGTGCATAAAGAATTGGGGGAAGAAATTCTAATTTAATAACCTTAAGAATGGATTTTTGTGAAGAGGCATCCGCCACATGTATTTTGAAGCTAAAAAATATACATAACCTATAGAAAAAAAAATCTTTTTAAATATATGGTTAGTCAATTTTATTTCCAAATAAAAAATTCAAGCACATTTGTAAGTAACGGGAAATCTGTTTTTATTTCATCAAAATGTTTTAATTTCAAATGAAGGAATAAACTTGGGACACGTTTTCATAAAATTTAACTAACTAGCATAGATTTGAGATGATATTTGAATTAAAAACATTTATAGTTAAATTCAAAAACATTCAAATTTTGATTTAAACAAATTTATAATTGTTACGGGCTAGAATATATGCGGCGATAGAGTTAGAAAATTTTCATCTCAGCGTTGTATGAATATTCAGCACACAAACATGAGAGAAATAGAAACACCAGGATTTTTACGTGGAAATCCTGGAAAGGGTAAAAACCACGGGGCCGTGCCCAGTTGAAAAAGTTCCACTAGTGTTTGCTTGAGATACAAGAGGCTAACTCGTCCGCAAAAGTTATGACGATCAGATTACAATGAATCACTTCTGGATTGAAATTCAATTACAACGTCGGGCAGAGTTTCAGCGTCACTTGGAGATCGAGCAGAATTTCGGCGTCCTTCGAAAGTTAGGCAGAATTCTGGCGTCGTTTGGAAGTCGGGTAGAATTCCGACGTCATCCAGAAGTCGGGTAGAATTCTGGAGGCGGTGGTCAATGAGGAGTTACTTTCCTCCTAATCTTCTTCTCTTCTCTTCTCCTTCTTCTCTTCTTCTTCTTGATTGGGACCCCTCTCAAGAGAAATGATGGGCTATTTATAGTTTTTTGAGGATGGCATGACCCGTAAATTGGAGGAGAATCAAGGGCAAAGGTGGAGTGGTTCGGATGGACGACCGATATTGAATCCCTTGATTGTGTACCATTCGTCATACATTTGAAGGTCTTAATGATGTCAGAATTTGGTGATCTTGAGCTCGTTGGATTCTTCTCGTTGAGCCACTTGATTCGACTATAATCATATTTGGAAACCGTTTGGTAACTCAAATTGTGGCTCAAACTTTCTAATAGTGCTTCAGGTGCTTGATTTGGACTCATTTGAGCTCGGATTGAGTTGAATTTGGTGTCGTTGGGTTTGTATTTCCGAGATGCTCAGTTTGACTGTAAGTTCACTAAAATCAGAGTTCAAGTGATCCAAGATTTATTTTTTGAAGTTTTCGGCTTGATTTTGCCTCGAGATTCGTGCCGGATCAAGATGATTTTTTGATGATATATCAATAATCTAACTTAATGTCTCGATAAAATGACCCTATTGGCGCCCCAAATGTTTGGATTTTAGTCCAAATGAACCAAAATTAGGCATTTGAAATACTTTTAGATGTTTTATGACGTTAATTGAAGGACCAAAGGGTCTCCAAATTATGCACGCTTAGTTGAGCAACTCAATGAGATGGGCCTAATAAGCCTAAAGATCATTCGATTCTAACATTATGATGACGGCATAAATATGAAATAATCAATGGATGATTTCTTTTTATTAGAATTAATCAACATCAGATGCCTATGCTGGTCCTATCCCTCCTTCAAGAGTAATAAAAATAAATAAATAAATAAATAAATAAAAAGAATAATGAATACTCTTTTTTATTTTCACCATTTTTTGTTACAAAAGTGGTTCGCTCCTTTGCTATCTGCATGCTTAGATAAGCCCGGCATAAATATGAAATAATCAATGGATGATTTCTTTTTATTAGAATTAATCAACATCAGATGCCTATGCTGGTCCTATCCCTCCTTCAAGAGTAATAAAAATAAATAAATAAATAAATAAATAAAAAGAATAATGAATACCCTTTTTTATTTTCACCATTTTTTGTTACAAAAGTGGTTCGCTCCTTTGCTATCTGCATGCTTAGATAAGCCCGTGTTCAGATCTAAAATAATAAAAAATTTATTAAAAGTATTTTAATAAAAAACTTTTAACATAAATAATTTAAAATAATTGTGAAATTTTAAAATATCATGTTATAAATAATTCTTAAG